ATGATCCATGCTTTCATGTTGTTGAGCCGAGCATCTGAATGTGTCAGCAGAAATGGAGACTCATCAGAGCAGCAACGTTTCTCCAATCTTCTATTGTCCAGTTTTGGTGAGTCTGTGTGAATTGTAGCCTCAGTTTCCTGTTCTTAGCTGACAGGAGCGGCACCCGGTGTGCTCTTCTGCTGCTGTAGCCCATCCGCCTCAAGGTTGGACGTGTTGTGTGTTCAGAGATGCTCTTCTGCAGAGCTCGGTTGTAGCGAGTGCTTATTTGAGTTACTGTTACCATATTAGCTGAAGCCAGTCTGGCCATTCTCCTCTGACCTCTGGCCTCATCAACAAGGCATTTGCGCCCACAGAACTGCCGCTCACTGGATATTTCCTCTTTGTCGGAGCATTCTCTGTAAACCCTAGAGATGGTTGTGCGTGAAAATCCCAGTAGATCAGCAGTTTCTGAAATACTCAGAGCAGCCCGTCTGGCAGCAACAACCATGCCACGTTCAGAGTCTCTTAAATCCCCTTTCTTCCCCATCCTGACAGATGTACCTAATAAAGTGGCCAGTGAGTGTATATATAGTACTCTACAAATAAGACTGAAGTGAATGAATGTGAATATTTGGTGCGCAGGGTCAGTTTGCTCAGTCTTGATCAATTAATAACGATCTGAAGCAAAAATAAAACACTGATGTTCTCTGCCAATATGAACCTGCGCTGAGAGATCCGGCCTCAGGGTTGGCACTGTTAAATCAGGACGTTTACACTGATGTGTGTTTAACCTTTTCAATCCATTACAGTGAAATCCAGTGGGAAACTCAGAGCTGAAGAGAAACACGTCCACAGAAAGCACAGCATTACATGAAGAGAATCCAGCAAAACAGCGACCAGAGAAACAGCAGCTCCAGGCAAATATGTGCTGATGAAACTCACTAGCGTAGTATAAACCTGCTGTCATTCATTAATGCATTCATTCAGCTTAGTCCCTTTATTAATCAGGGGTCACCACAGAGGAATGAACCACCAACTATTCCATCATATGTTTTAAGCAGCGGATGCCTTTCCAGATGTAACCCATCACTGGGAAACACCCATACACTCTCTTTCACACTCATACACTACAGCCAATAGTTGATCAGTTCCCCTATAGCGCATGTGTTTGGACTGTGGGGGAAACCGGAGCACCCGGAGGAAACCCACACCAACACGGGGAGAACATGCAAACTCCACACAGAAACACCAACTGACCCAGCCGAGACTCGAATACTCGATACTCATTCTTGAGCATTTTGTCTAATTTAAAGCCTGCAGCCCATGAGAGAGGATGATTGTAGTTCAATCAAATGGCAGTAAGGCTCGGCATGTTGTGTTTTAATCAGATTTATTAACATGTTCACCAATATTTCATAGACTGTTTGTAAAAAAACAAAAAAAACAAAAAAAAAAACAGGGATTGCACTTATTAATTAGTTTAAAATATTTTTAAACATTAAACAATTGCCTAAAACATATTATGGAATGGTTGGAAGTTCATTCCTCTATGGCGACCCCTGGTAAATAAGGGACTAAGCTGAAAATGAATGAATGAATTGTACCCACAATCAAAGTACGAGTGTTTTTTACTTTATGCAAGAATATATATTCACCTTAAGACTAATGTGCACAAGCATAATGCAAATTGTACAATACGTTGTATAATCAGACTTTAAAATGCAGGATAAATCTGGCAGAATAAAGTAGTAAATAAAAAATTAACAAATTAAAAAAAAAAATATATATATATTAGTGCTGTCAAAATTACTGTGTTAACGCATGCGATTAATTTGAAATAATTAACAAATATTAAAAAATTTATTAATAAAAAATTTATAAAAACAAATTGATAAAAAAATTACGCAATTATCGCAGTTGCAGTTTTTTTATTTCCTGTTGTGGCCGTGGTTCGTTCAACGTGCAAAGAAATATGGATAAGACCAAGGAAGCACTTTTTAAGGCAAGTTTTAGTATAAAATAGTTAATGTCGCATCACCAGGCTCTCCAGCGTTTCCTCCAGCATTATCAAATTTTTTATGTTTCATTTTTAACTTTCGACTTCTGTTTAAATGGAGTTTGATAACGCATGGCGAACGGAAAGAAAAACCTCAGCATTTCGTGACTCGGTGGTCCTTTAAGGTAATCAAAAACCGCTGTTTACATGGTCGACTCTTAATAAGAGTATCATCTTTATCATATTAAGATCGAAGTATTGGTATTCATGTAAATGAAGTACCAGAAGAAGTCGCGAGCTGTTAAAGTCAGCGCATTCCTCTGCCTTTCAGCATGCGCCCTCCAATGTTTCATTAAGTTTGACTTGTTTCCCGCTTTAACGCAAGTTTTGTTTAGTGTCTGCTTTGCGTTGTTGTGTCAGAATCCTTGTGAAATACAGCCAGACTTTAGAACGCTTAGTTTACGCAAATTTGATGAATGCGTGTTGAATCTGAAGGGAGTCGCTCCGGCTGCGATGTCCTGCACACAGTGCGTGTGTGTGCTTTGGTGTGACACCTGTACGTGCCATTGATGTACCGCTTGATGCTTCTTACGTCCTTGTCGCAGCACCAGTGGCCACAAGATTAGGCTCTGAAATGCATATGCTGATTCAGTAATCTTGTGATCCTGCCTGTTCTCACTCTCACCTCACATCATTCAAAACAAAAGGTCCACATTGTCCCCCGATAACGTCAACAGACTAGACTGTCTGAGCAGCTGTCTGAATGTAAAGGAGGGCTGAGCAAAATCGTTTCTGCTTTATAATTAATGTTCTCAACTCACAGCAATACAACTTTACAATGAGTGCAATTGTTTGTATTTAATACTTTGTTATTATAATTTTCCACATCTGCAACGCCTGTATTTTGGCATTTTTTGCAGTCCACTTAGAATCTAACTTGGAAATATATATTTTTTTCTTTTTTGGCATTGATTGTTTTGAAATTCAGATGGCATTCCCATGCCTGTGTGCTTTAATTTCTGTAATAAATATGGCTGTCAGGTCAGGATCTTGACGGTTTATTGTGGGCATGTAAAGAAATCTGTCACAAGGTAAACAAAAGTTCTAATATTGAATTATATTTTGAATTCAAAACGTTTTTGTCTTGTGTTTACATTAATTTTACATTTGAATAGCCAAAATGACAAGTTTCAGTCTTTTTAATGTGCTTAATCGCGATTAATTAAAAAAAGTGTGATTAATTAGTTAATTTTTTTAATCGATTGACAGCACTAATATATAATCTTGTTCTCAGAAATGTCAATGTTTTCCCCAACACAAGCAAGATAATCTGACAATGTGGTAAAGTGGAAAACAAAAACATGATTATTTAACTCCACAGTCAGATTATTCTGCTCGTTTTAAGGAAAAACTCATTTCTCAAATCAAGAATACTTAGTTTTTTTTCCCCCACAAGAAACATGACAAAAACTCTAAGCTTTATGTTTGAGGCAAATATGAAGCGTTTCTGTGGACACAAACACAGCACATGATGATGGAGCGGCTTCGCGGAGCCTCCATTAATTTCCCGCTCCGCGTTTCTGCTTCGGGCTCCGCTCTGTTCCTGGAGCCAATGGAACAGGCGGAGAATAATTGATGCCCCGAGACTCCAGACCAGACAATAGGTCACAACAACAGCCACCGTCAGACAACCCAGAAACACCCGCACGGTGTAATGTTGGCGGACTAGAAGCGTTTTCAAACCACTTGTTAATCTAAATCTACCATAAAACATGATGCTCACAGTGCCGTTAAAGGGTTAGTTCACTCAAAAATTAAATATGCCATCATTTATTCAGCTTTCACTTGTTTCTAAACTTTATGAGCTTCTTCTGTTGAACAAAAAAAGATGTTTTGAAGAATGTTGGAAACTGATAAGCAATTACCTTCCAGTGTTTGTTTTACTCCTATTGAAGTCAATGAGTGCAGCTTTTATTCATCGAAATATCTTTGGTGTACAACAGAAGAAACTCATAAAGGTTTGGAAACACTTGAGGAAAGTAAACATTGATTATATTTTTATTTTTAGGTGGACAAACTTTAAGCATATTTACATTTATTTCTGTAACTGAAATTACACTTCTCAGAAACATATTGGAAGAAAAATATACAAATCATTATTATTATTCGGTGTTACACACAGGTGGGAATAGTTAATACTACAGTATACGTGAACCACACTGTAGTTAGTGAAGCATTCAATCATTCTCCATTGGTTTAGTCCAGGGGTGCCCAAACGCAGTCCTGCAGATTTGAGCTCCAACTTGCCTCACTACAACTGCAAGGATGTTTCTAGAAAGCCTAGTAAGAGCTGATTAGCTAGCTCAGGTGAGTCTGATTGGGGTTGGAACTAAACTTTGCAGGACACCGGCCCTCCAGGACTGAGTTTGGACACCCCTGGTTTAGTCCCTTAATATTAATCAGGGATCACCACAGCGAAATGAACCACCAACTATTCCAGCATGTTTTACGCAGCGGATGCACTTCCAGCAGCAACCCAGTACAGGGAAACACCCATACACGCTCATCCACCCACACTACGACCAGTTAAAAAATAATAGGGCGGCACGGTGGTCTCAAAGGCAAGAAGGTTGCTATTTCGAGCCCCGGCTAGGTCAGTTGGTGTTTCTGTGTGGAGTTTGCATGTTCTCCCTGTGTTGGTGTGGGTTTCCTCCCAGTTTCCCACACAGTCCAAACACATGTGTTATAGGGGAATTGATTAACTAATTGGCCGTAGTGTACGAGTGCATGTATGGGTGTTTCCCAGTACTGGGTTGCGGGCGGAAGAGCATCCGCTGTGTAAAACATATGCTGGAATAGTTGGTGGTTCATTCCACTGTGGTGACCCCTAAAATAGAGACTAAGCTGAAGGAAAATGAATAATACTTATAATAATTTTAAATACAATACAACATGGCAGATATGTGACTGTCACGAATAATGAAACAAACAAAGATACTAAAAGAACACCAACACCCAAAATGAATATGGTTTTCACATTTTAATTAGCTCACCTAGACTAAAACTAATTACAGGACAATTACTTCATCGAAACATCAAATAAAATGAACGAATGGAATAATGTGCTCGTTGTTCAGTTGGACTCGCTCTGCGTTCATACATGCTCTGCTTTGCTCTCAAGTAAAGAAAATAAACCCGTGAATAAACATTTTAAAAGTCCCGTAGAGTTAATTACCAGCACATGCTAATGCTCCAGTACTATTACATGAGGATGTGTTTGAAGCATCCGGACAGGTGGAGGTGTGTCCTCTCCTCAATCCGCTCAACATTTCCTCACAGCCAATCATGAAGAGACAGTTACAGGACATTACACGCATTTCAGACTGTTTAGAGCTGCAGGAGTGAAGAGGGACATGTTTCGGAGATCCGTCCTGCCAGAAACACCACCAATAAAAAAATATCAATACAACATTATTAGCAGCACACACTCTACCTCCACACATATCTCACCGAAAAAAAAAAAAAAAAATATTGCAGCAATCTATAGTAAACTCTACAGTGTTTCAAACCATACCATAACAAAGTGTGTTAAGGGGTTGACAATTATAGTAGTGTGTTTTTTATTTATTTTAGGGTCTATTGAAGCATTTCTGCACTGCCTTTTCACTTATTACTGACTGCTTTTGGACTGTTAAACAAATGCACCAGTGGACATGAACCCAAGCTGATGTGTTACCATAGCAACTGTAGAGTCACCACAACACATCAATTACTATAGCCTTTGTTACCATAGCGACTGTAGAATCACCACAACAGATCAATTACTGTAGTCGCTGTGTTACTGAGCAACTTTAGAATCACCACAACAGATCAATTACTAGTCTTTGTGTTACCATAGTAACTGTAGAATCACCACAATAGATTAACTTAAGTAGTTTACTATAATATGGTTAAAACACTAAATATTTACTCTAATTAATTATAATGCTACAGTATTTTTTTTCATTTGGGATAGCAAACTATCACACTACACTTTCCGATAGCAGTCATATTTATATTTACATATAAATGGTATATATATATATATATATATATATATATATATATATATATATATATATATATATATATATATATATATATATATATAGTAAAAATGCACAGCCCAAAGTGAGACTGAAGTAGGGCTGCACAATATATCAATTCAGCATCTGACACAATGTGCAAATTTGCAAAAGTCACATCACAGGTTTTGCAATATCGAGTTGGGATTATAATTACCCAGAATTCACAGTTCAGAGCACATTATTTGATTGCAAAGTTTAACCCTAATATAACAGAGTGAAACATTTTTTTATTCTTTTATTATGTTTTCAGGCCTGTGACCCAAGTTATCAAGCGAATTTTAAATCATTTGGGAACAAGAAATTATGAAGTTTGTCACTAAATGATTGTTTATTTACACAACAAAGGCTCTTTGCAGTGGTATTTTCCCATTTATTGATTGATTTTCTGTACCTTAATAGTGTTAAAACTCCAGCCACCAGTTGCACAGACAATGCTTAAGGCTAGTCTTAGATTAAATTGGATGTTTGAGCTGTCTTAAAGAGCCCATATTATGGGTTTTTGACAATGCCCCTCCATGTAGTGTGTAACACAGCTCTAAGTGAAGTGAAGTATCCAGCTAAGGCTTAAATCTGTAAGAATACAGTGTTTGAAACGGTTGATTCATCTATAAAAGAGTCGACTCATAGTGCTTCAAACGAGTCGCCTTGATACAGAGTCATTAGGTGTTTCGCCATGACGTACGAACGAAACCAAGATATTCACGTGCACGCGCAAACCCGGGAGATTTCAAACCTGAGGCCCCGCCCTCTGACGCAGAAACCCAGACACACACACACACACACACACACATACACACACACACACCCACAAACATGCCGGTCGATTGAAGTCACACTGCAGATGGATATTATCGATTCTCTACCTAAAGATGAAACCTCAGCATTATAGCCAAGCAGTTGGAAACTTCTGGAAGCTACATGCTACAAAGAATACTTCATCAGCGTTTGTTAAAGTAAGGATCAGTAAAGAGTAACTTACTGATGGACGTCAGGATGAGTTTCTTCCTCCATTTCTCAAGTGTAAGTACGTGCGATTAAAGTTGCCTCGTTGACTCTAGCTTGCAAATGTATTTAGTTGTGATTTGTTACTTGTATCCGCGTGTACTGTATCAGGTTAACTGGCTATATTCTCTTATCACGTGCAAAGTCACGTTAAAAACGCGACGCGTGCTGCTTTGTTAACGGAGCTCCGTGGACGAGGAGTAGTGTGTGTGTCTGTGTGTGCGTGTGCGCGAGCTGACGTCCGGAGGTGTGTGTTTTTGTGTGTGTGTGTGCGCGCGCGTTGTCGAGCAGGGTTAAGTGCGTGTGTGTGTGCAATATGTGTGTGTGTGTCTGTGAAAAGAGCAGAGTGAGAAGCTAGGAGATCTCCTCAACTGTTTTTGGAGTTTTTGCTCAATAAAATAGTCGTCGGTATTTTCAAGTCCATCGTCTGTATTTACATTGAGCCACTGGCAGCTAAACTCCACGCCTACACTATGGAGCGTGTATGAACTGTGATTACTTTTATATTGCTGATTAGCTATTGGCCATTTCACTCTCTGACTGAAGGCAGTCGACCAATCGCAACAGACTGTCATCGGTCCAATCAGCGCAGATTAGCTTGGCGCTAAGGAGGGGTTTGGGAACAAATGAATCACTGGACGATTCATACGGGAGTCGCTGGGATAATTAGGTAAAAATAAATGCAGATTATAAGACCATGAAAGTGTTTTTTGACCTTGCATGCATATTAAACTGTTGTTGGAGACCCTTACAACCAAGATATGACCCTATTTCATGTATAATATGGGCTCTTTAACTGAAAATAACTTGCAGTTAGAGACCCTAAAATACCTTAGTGGCATTGTTTTGTCTCCAGAATTCACACCAATAATGTGTTTTTTTAACAGCATTTTTATAAAAGTGGCTTCAATATGTAATTTAACTAAGTTCTAGTCCTTACTATAGCTAATCCTTGTTTGAGAAACTGGATCCAAGTGTTTTTTCATTTCTAACATTGTTCTGTTTTCACCCGCACTTAATTTGTGTTTATTAAATATTTTTGGATAATTTTCTATATTTTGGCGCACACTTGACTACGAAATCTCAGTCAATCTCCTGAAGAAAAATTATGAGTTCTTTCCAAACAGAGTTACTGAGGTTATCTTGTAAAATTATATTCACGTCGCAATAGAAATCACAGAATAACTAAATATTGCAATGTCAGTTTTTTTCCCCCCCAATATCATGCAGCCCCTGACTGAAGTAAATGTAGAGTAAAGTAACTCAGAGTGGTGTGAGACTGAAATCATGTGTGTACACTACTGACCATAGCAGCTGAGGCTCAGCCGGAGCACAGCAGGACACTGCAAAACACACACAAACACATGACAATTAACTCACACATAACACATCAAAGTTTGCTATAAAATAAATAAAATGAAGTTATGTCTATTGAAATAAAGCTATGGAAAGAATGAAACAACAATTTGAATTTACAATTTAAATTTATACGTCGAGAATTC